AAAAAAATGAGCGATTACAATGCTGTCGGTTTCCTGTCGGACAAGACCGCGCGGTCGGAAATCAAGCAATAAGCTGTGGGTGTAAAAGCGGAAGGTTGGGCGAAATGAGTACCGTAATTACGTAAACTTTGTAGTATTGATATGCAAATCGGATCTTTCATCAAGTGTCAATTAGGATTACTTTCAAGCGAGTGTTGTGCTTGTGTTGGTGGTGTTTATAAACAATAACACGTGGCAATGTTTTGAAATAAAAAAAACGTCGAAATATGCCTTATAAAATGGAGTTTTTGTTTAGAATAAAAGCACAGTCATAGATACTGTCATAACAATCAATAATTTAAAATAAAAAAAAATATCGAAAAAAACACATTAAACGTATGCTAACCCCTTAAAGAGGTACGAACATTTCTTAAACTTCTTTGTAAACACAGAAATGAAAGTAGTGTGAATTCACCATGAGATCTATTGTCAATTTTACTTTATTTTTATTCAGTTTCAGATATGTATGTTTTTTTCGTTTCTTCTTTTATTTTGTTGCCGTTCCGAAGGCTTAAGAAATATTATTATTATTATTATTATTATTATTATTATTATTATTATTATTATTATTATTATTATTATTATTATTATATATTATATTATATAGGCATTATCATTAGGGTAACGTGATAGGTAGATATCTGGGATATACTGTATACTCTATGTTAAATTCCCAGATACGCAATTTCGGTACAAGGGCTGACCAATGGGCTGTCTAACTAATGAGCTTCTCTTCTTCTATTCATATGGCTAAGACCGAATCTATATTTAAGTTTGGGATCTTGTCCATTTCACTGGGACTTATTTACAAAAGACACGCAGTGCGTTCTGTGTATTGGTTCTAAATTAACAAAACTCTCACGCGCACTGTTGTCGGTTGCCATGACGTCATAATTGAGGGCAATTACCGCGCTCACCATTTTGGAGTGTGTTTTCGGTCAGAGGTTAAAAAAGTAAGCCATGGAAGGTGATAGCTCGTCCGATGTACCTGATGACACAAACGATGAGGCATTTGGGAGTACATTTCTCAAGAAGAGACGAAAAAGAACAATTATTGCAGCCGAACAATTATTGAAATTGGAAGGTTTGTACAAACAAGAACAATGGCCGAACCGAGAGAAGAAAGAGAAGTTGGCCAGACTCATCGGGATGTCAACACACTTTGTAAATATTTGGTTCCAAAATAAAAGATCTAGAATGAAGAAGATGGCACAGGAACAGGAAGAACTTTCTACGCTAACAGTCTCAAATATTGTGAGAAATATTCCCGATAGTCCTTTAACTCCTGTAACCCTACCAGTGCATATTGCACCAAAACCACGAGCCACCAAGCCGCTTGGTTCCACTTCCAATGATATCGCTGAATCGTCAAAGTCAATTCCGGAAATACCACGAGGAATGACCACTACATCAACTTGCGACACACACAAGGCGACATCCCACAAGGTAAACTAATAACAGCGTCCGGATTACTTTCGGAAAGTTTTAATTTTCAAAACTTTTGAATATTTATTTGTGCTTTTAGGTTAGTGAGGAGGTTATAATAATTTTTCATTTCACTTTAAAACTGTTTTTTACACCCCTCAGACCCCTTTAAAAAGTCACTTCTGGCCATTATAATGGCCACTATTTTCTTAATGGTCAGAATATTGACTAGAATTTTTTAAGTGGCCAAAATATTTACCAGTGTTTTCAAAATGGTGGTTTTAATGACCCATGTTTTTTATACTGGTCAAAATAATTACAATTGCATTTTGAATGATGGAGTTGATGAACATTTTTTTTATGGGCAGTATAATGGTCATTTTATTTTTCATTACATACATAAAATGACCAGTATTTTTGTTCATGTCTCTAATATAATGGCCCAGAAAACAGACTGCTACCTCATGTGAGCTCAATATACGTGTGGGAATTTATTTAAATACTTTAATATGGATCAGATGCTGATTCCTATAAATATAGTCATACCCTGTCATGGAGTGAATTCATTGTAACTATGCCAGTTTTTGGACGGCCTTTCCCAATAAAACTGCCTAATACGTCAAGTCACACCAACGAAATCGGACATCTTATAAACAACTGATTATGAACCTGTTTCTAAAATATGTTTTCATGATTTTTTGCCAACACTGGCACTGTTAAATCTGTCGTCTGCAGCCGCTTGTGTCAGGGTGACGACTGAGTTTCTCTGTTCAACTAGGTAATCACAAAATCAGAATTCTCCACTTATTTTGTTGTACTTATGCATTAAACATTGCGCTGATATTACTGGTATTATTTATCAAAACGGATGTTAGAATTCAATTTGACCAGTCCAGAAATGGTGTTGTAACATCATCATTAGTTCTAATTACTATTAATGAGATAGTTCATTATTTTGAACATGTGGGTGGTTGTAGTTGTTATGACATGTAAATGAAAGCTGATGATTGACATTTACAAATTTATATAAAATTATAAGGAAAGCCCCAGCTTTGTGCCTTCCATTGTATTGGGCCATTCCAGTTTATATCTACACCCCCCTGTTGATGTGGTCGGATTTCCAGCACTGTATGATGGGGAAAATATCCCGGAATTCCAACTGTATATGGAGAAACAGAATCTGGAAATCCAGAT